TTATCTATTTTCATTCAACCATTATTGAAAACAAATAAATAAAAGATTTCCGGTTTTTTTTGTTACACACTGTACATTAAGTATTGAGTTGTTTGAAGATATATAGATGGAAAAAATTGACAGAAAATTATTACAATCACAAAAATTCTTGGGCTATGACATTTTACAAATTTTCTTTTAATACACAGATACAATATACCCAACGTCTTTGTTACGTGTGATTCCAGTCAATCAGAAGTTGAATCTAGATATTCTAGATTGGTTATATAGAAAGATAGTTTTTTATCTGTTGAAATGCCACATTGTTTCTCAACATTTATGTCTTGTATTGATGAAGAGATTGGTAGGTTCCTAACTCCACATATTTTAGAATTGCAACATAATTAAATCTAACAATCATTTATCTATGAGTAACGAATATTTTGAAGTAAGATTTATTTTATTTATTGTATTATACCGATAGATGGTTTCCAAGAAAATGCTAATATTGATTGTTTGACAGATTGATTCTTCTGTGAGTGTAAATAATTTTCTTGAAGAAACTGATACTCTTACAAGATTTAACTCAATTGAAAAAACTGGACAAAATTTGTGGATATAAAAGGTAGGTGGTGGCAGTAGATCTTTGTTTTGTAATATCCATGAAAGATGGAGGTCATATCTGTACATGTCTTGAGATAGTAACAAAAGGTTTTATATGTCATCATTTCTTGCATCATACTATACAATTAATATCTCTAATAAAAAGTCATTTGTGTTGTGATTATATTTTTGATAAATTAGAAAATGCACTAAATTATACATGAAATTGAAATAAAAGGTCAAAAGTCAAATTAAAAGTCAAAATGGTTGAAATTACATCCATATGCGCTGATTTTGTTTGAACCCAAAATCCAGTACAGTATGATCATAATGTTATGAATACTTTATACTAGCAAAAACCCATTGGTTTTGAGGTGGGCCATTGGTTTGATGGGTTGATGGATAGTAAACTAGTTTTTTTAGCAGAGCAAATAATTTTTTTTAGGGTAATTATCATTCTACCAACCAGTTTACACATTAAAGATACTCATGTTTAACATCGAGACACAATAAGACATAAGGTTTGAAAAAAGGCCCAAAAAACCAAATCAGCTGATATGCATACAACATACTGAACATACAGAAAAATTAATCAAAAGATTCAAATTATCATAACTCAGTCAATATCTGACTATTTTGGACTAAACAACTACCATTCAAATTCTCTCAATGAGATGAGTCTAGTTCATAAAATTTGAATTACTATATTGAGATATTTTGGTTTATTGTATATCTTGCAATAATGAAATTGAAATAAAAGGTCAAAAGTCAAATTAAAAGTCAAAATGGTTGAAATTACATCCATATGCGCTGATTTTGTTTGAACCCAAAATCCAGTACAGTATGATCATAATGTTATGAATACTTTATACTAGCAAAAACCCATTGGTTTTGAGGTGGGCCATTGGTTTGATGGGTTGATGGATAGTAAACTAGTTTTTTTAGCAGAGCAAATAATTTTTTTTAGGGTAATTATCATTCTACCAACCAGTTTACACATTAAAGATACTCATGTTTAACATCGAGACACAATAAGACATAAGGTTTGAAAAAAGGCCCAAAAAACCAAATCAGCTGATATGCATACAACATACTGAACATACAGAAAAATTAATAATAGTGACAACAACATTATCATTAACACCAAATTGTCATTATCATCATCTCATGTCATCAAAAATATAAATTACTTACAGATTGCAGCCATAAAATCAATACAACAAAAGAATCGCCAATTACAATATATTTGTTTATTCGAATTAAATCAAATCTTACTTCTAGAAATTTTTTTAGATCATTTGAATTTGAATTTCCTTGATTTATAAACTCCATTGATTTCAGATATGAAAATATAGTAAATGCATAATTTGCCATTGAAACAGCGAACGGAAGTATTACTGCTAAAAGATCTGTAATATTATGGAAATTCGCATATTTGCGAAGTTTCTCTTGTTTGAATTGTATGAACTCCATAGCTAACAAATAATAACTAAAATAGATCACTATCAGAAACATGGAGGTGCTTTTTATTGGGTTGTGATAAATTTTTGCATATTCTGTTGCATCATCAGGAATTGTAAATCCATTATTAGAGAAGGTGTTCACACTAAGATGAAGTCCTATTGCAAGCGAAAAAGCTATGTAAAGCATTAATTGTCTAGCATAAAACAATTTTGCCGAAGGATATTTGTATTTAATACATGCTTCCAATGATGGATTATCATAAATCAATTCATTTCTTTTATGTCTAATTACTCGCAAAAATGCACTACGATCTTCCTCCTTCGAAATAATATACTGACGCGGCCAAATTATTAGTCTTAATAATTTTAATAGCAATTTGTTTGACTTTAGTTTTTTATCTTTTATACCATTTGGGTATAGAAGAAAATCCGGTAACGGGACTACAAAGACGCTTGTCAATTGACCCAATTCATTGTCATCTTCCATATAGTTCTTTATTTCATAATTTCTGTTATTTGTTTTCCAAAAATAAATATGCAATTAAATATAATGTATAAATAAGAAATGATCTTCACAGTTATTAAATTTATTATTACCTTTTAAATGAAAAATCACTGATTCTTTTCATTAAGGAAGGATTTGTAGGAAGTTTTTGTATTAGTCTTGGTCTTGCACTTAAAGGATAAATACCTTCACGTTCACTTTTCCTCAATTCATGTGAATCAACAAAGCATTGGTCAATCAAAACCTCTTTTGTTCCAAAACATGGTTTATAAAATAATCCTTTTAGGTACATTTCTATTACGAATAGGGAGAGTGAAACAAAAAAAAAATTTATTTATTAGAAAGGGAAGAGATAATAGGAAAAAAGGAAACCCTTCAAAACCAACATTTCGCTAAATTCTTTTTGTTTTTAAATAAATAAACATATACCTAGATTTTTTTTAGATAATAATAATGGAATCGCTTGACTTACTGTAAACATCCACCCTACATTTACCAATGCATGATTAGAATAATATTCCAGTAAAAATTCTATTATAATTGTATGTCTATGATTCTTTCCTGAATAATTTAATTAGATAAGAAAATTAAATAAACAATTTTATTTTATATGTGTGTGTGTGTGTGTGATAAATTGTTATAGTATAACGATTGTAACGTACCTTTAGTGCATGCGCATTCGATTGCAACTTCTAAATCAGTTAATTTTTTTACCTTTGGCCACCCGTATAAACGTGGAATATGTAAATGTTGATCATTATTTTCTAAGGCTTTTTGCTTATTTTTGTCTCCCAATATTTCATCATTGTCTTTAAACAAGATTTTTTTAATCAGTGAGGTGCTATTACTTCTGATCAAATTTGCCATAATATCATACCGAACCTCGTTTAATCTCCAGAGACTTGGAGACTTTACAAAACTTCTAAAGACTAATTTCTCAGCATGATATAATAAATACTCAAATTTTCGATTATTTTTTGGACCAATACATTCAATCTTACGATTAGAGAGATATTCAAGTGTTCCACACGCATCTTTTATTGTATTAACGCTTTTTGGATAATGGATATGAATATCAATTGGATTAGAATTATTTGATGAAAAGTGTGAATATTCTAATAATTTCAAATGGAACTTGTTTTTTCCAACTACGATTGATTCTACAACGAACTCTTTATGTGAAGGATTTGACCAGATATATTTAAGAATTCTTTTCACGGTATGGTTTTCCTTTGTAATCTTTTTTTGCCAGATCTGAACTGTGGTTGATCCAATAATGAGTTGAGTTGTTTTGTCATCATTTAAAAACACCGAAATCCTATGGTATTTTTTATAATTTATCCAGGGTTCAACATTATTGACAATCAACTTGTCTTGACAATCTTTTAAACTGATCAAACTACCATCCAACTTGTAAATTTCGTGATAATCTTTTGATTCATTTTCCTCGAGTTGAAGTTTTAACATATTAGAAGAAACATTATCATCATCATCATCATCACCACCATCGCCGTTCAAGATACCAGAAATATCAGGATGGTCTAATAAGGAGAACGCTTTGCCATTCGCATTTATGGAATAAATTTTACCAGAACTTGATGTGAAAAAGTTTTTATCATCAGCATAGATTAAAAAGTTAGGATCTGAAGTAACATCAAGTTTTTGACACAAGTTACCACTATTATTAGAATTAAAAATATCCCAAATTATAATTGAAGTAATGATTTTTGATTTTTCTAAATAATCATCTCCACAAAAATCTTCTTGAGCCACAATAAATAATTTCGTGTCTTCATCGATAAAAGTTAAAGACAAGATTCTAGAAATTCGAGGAAAGTGTTTTGTTATGATTTCTAGGCCATTTTCCATCAAATATAAAGTAATGATGCTTGTACTACCACAATATGCGACCATACTTTCATATTTGGAAATGGCAAAATTTGATTCATTCCCGGTTAAATAATTGGGTATCATCGTCATTGATGGCGGGGATGCTAATGATGATGAGGTAGCATTTTTAAATAAAGAAAGCTCCAGATCACCAGTTTTCAAATTATAAATATCAATTTTTTCAGCTCTAAAATCTTCCGAAAAAAAATAATTTTTTTCGATGCAACTTTCCAAATGTCTTGTGCATGGATTACCCTGAAATAAATTTTTGATTTTAAGATAGGTAGCTGGTGGAAATAGGAATTCTTTTACTGATTTTTCATAGGTGTCGCCGTAGAAATTAAAGATTGATTTCGGAATTACATAATTTGATTTTGGATAAATATTAGATTTACAAATTCCCAAAGAGTTCACTAATACCAACTCCAACTTGTAATTGGAATCTTCATCCTCGTCAGAGTGAACTGTGTATTGTGTAACACTATTATCTAAAAATCTTACCACTCCACCAATAGTATCGATATCAGTAATGATTCTTTTGTCTTGAGTAGTTGAATATACCCAAGTTCTTGGTTCAATCACGATTCCAAAATCACCATTTTCCAATTTATTTACGTCGCTTACTGATTCGGGTGAAAAATATGGTGTTGGTGACGAAGATTTATGCACCTTTAGCTGTGATTTAGATGAAGATAATGTCTGTAGCGATGACAATAATGGTGAGGACATCATTTCTTTACTTTCGAAACATGATACTGCAATTAATATGTCAACGATTTCAGAGTCGTTGTTATCGTTGTTTTTACTTTTGCTTTTATTTAGAATTATACCATTTGAGATTGTTAAAGACCACCATAAATTAGACGGTATGGTTGGTGAATTGATGTCTTTTCGAATTTGATTTTTGACAAGAATTGGGTTTTGAAGGTTTTCGGTTTTGTAATACACTAATTCATATGTTTCTATCATTTAAAACAAACAAACAAATAAATATTATTATTATAAATAAATAATACCAATTTTATTTTATTAATTTATTTTACCAGAATTAAAAGTAGCAACAAAATTTCCATCGAGGCTGGTGGCAATGTAAGAGGCTTCTAAATGATCGTTATGTTGTTGATCTTTTTCTAATTTTGATTGTCTTCGTCGTTGTCGTGATAATTTTCTAGAATCGCTACTAAATGTTGAAAAAAGTGATGTAACTTCCGATTCATGCTTTATATTTAGTGTTTGAGTTTTTTTATCTTTTTGAATTGACGATTGCATTTTTTTTTTTAATCAAGAAAAATGTAGAATATTCATATTTATAACTGGACAAGTTTTTTTTTTTCCTGGTTACAAAATTCCAGTTTTTTGTTGATTGTTGTTTAATTGACCAATCAATGTCGTCGGTAATAATAATAATAATAAAAACCACAAAGACGGACAAATCTCAAAATGGTCTGTTCATTTATCATTCATTTTTTTTTGTTTTTAATGTACGTTGTAGATCAAGAAATTTATTTAACAAAAATATAGAACAGTAATGCTAGATATTGTATTTTAGGGAATGCGAGTGCAAAGGCATTCTGAAGTAGAAATTGTTCCTGGAAGCTATCTTTCCATTGATTTTGGTGCTAAATTCTCATTGTAACGATATTCTCTAAGTTAAAAAAGTTATTCCTTTTGTACCACAGGGTGACATGCTCAACATAGTCTATTATTATTTGTTGTCGTTGTTTGTTAAAAAAATTTGCGACATAATTTTAAGCCTCAAATAAAATCCTTTTTTATTCACTTTTTTGTTACACTAAAATTCAGTTGCATGACTTTGTTAAATGACGATTTCATTTTATTGATATGGCGAAGGAATTGATCCTTGTAAAGCACCTACTAATGTATGATTATAAAAATCAATTTATAAAATTTTGTGACATATAAAGGAAATTTCAAAATTAGTTACTATTATAATAAAATATGTCCAATCATTTTGTTTTTAATTATTAATATCAAGAAAGAAAATAAATTTAATAAACATCCAACAGCTATTATAAGCAACTTTTGATTGTAGACAATCTGCATTATATAATAATAAATAATAATAAATATATAATTTAGTTTAAAAATCCTAAATTTTGATATTTTTTTATCAATTTGTTTGCACCACTAAATCTTCTAAATTTTATTGTAAAAGGTTTGGGTCCTTTCCAATTCTTCATCAAGTTATCAAGATAATCATCACTAATATTAGAAATCCAATGATTAATAATTATCAACTTTAATTTTTTTGGTAATGTTTGGTTTAAAACTGCTAAAATTTTATCACCATCTATTGTCTCCAGAGATATAGATCCAAATTCTTTAAATTCAATACTTTCTAATTTAATACAATTATTAAGTATTTCCATTAACTCCTGGTTTATTCCATCTTTATAAAATATTGATAAATCTACTAGATTTTTACAACATTGTGCAATTGATTGAAATAGCTTTCCCGAAACCTCAGGATCGTCTGGAATACCACTGAGATTTAGATATTTAAGTTTTTTTCCATTGATGTTAATTGAATCAAACAAGTCTGATAGAAATGGTTGATAGAAAATATTTAATGTCATAGATTCAAGATTTGGCAGTGAAAGATTTTTCAAATATTTCATTTTGATATTAGTAGCACATAATAATGCTAATGATAAAATTTTTAAATTGTATAGAGTTGGTAATAATATATTATCTATATCATATGCACCATTGCTTGAATAATAAATTATTGATTGTGAATGTGAGAGTATTGCATTTTTGAAATTATCTGTAAAAGCATGACTAGTGTCTGTAAAAATGGTAAATTTCTTTATTTGGTTTTGTGCTTTAATTAGTTGAGTTAGACTATCTTCAAATGTATTGCAGTGTCCCATATAATATATTTCTAATGATTGAATAGATTTGCAAGTATTTGCTAATTTATAAATGAATTCACTTCTAATAGAACGATTACAAGTTAATCCATTCAGATTCTGAAAACAATCATCAATTCTATGACAATTTTTTATCCAATTCCAATTTATACTCTCAGCACAAAGTTCTTTAATAACTGTTGAATGATCTAAAATAAAATTCACTAATCTAATTTGTAAAATTAAACTAAAAGCTTTTGTTGACATTTGAGAACTATAACCATTGTTAAGGTGAAGTCTAGTGCAAAATCGAGCATAATTATATAATGGTGGTTTCTCCAATAAGTCAAAAGTCAATTCAATACCATTTCTAGTTAAGAAATCCTTGTCTTCTTCCAATAAACAATTGATTATTATTTTAGTGCTGTTAAGAGAATAACATGGATTTCTCCATAAAATTGGAATATTAATATTGTGCCATTGTTTATTGACAAAAATGCAAGAATACAATGTTTTATAATTGTCTTTATTGTATTTAAATATTTCATTCAAAAGCTCAAGAGGTAAAGTTATTATTGACATTTTTTTTGTAAAGAAAAAAAATTAATTGATAATCCATCCATGAATGGGGAAATTTTATATTAAAGATCGGTCACACAATAAATATTAATCTTTAAGTGCAAAAATTGTATCATTTACATTATTAACAAATCATTATTTAAAATGACAATTAAATTCAACTTTTGAATTTTGAAACTTGGCCAAAAAGCTACCTTCGCTATTATTATAAAAAAAATTATGTAATAGAACAAAAGCAAAGTTATCAGATTGGTACAATTCACTCACTCACTCACTCACATATAGTTCGTCAATTAAATTTGTTTGTTGCACCAAAATGAAAAATTATTTATTTTGTTATATAATTTAATTTAAAAATCCTATATAAATCTTGACATTTTTTTATCAATTCATCAAAAGCAACTTTATTGTACAAGGTTTGAGTCCTTTCCAATCCTCCATTAGATTATCAAAAGAATTGTCAATACTAATAATATTATAAATCTCATTATTAATAATTATTGATTTTACTTTTTTTGATGTTTGATTTAAAACTGCTAAAATTCTATCACCATCTATTTCATTACCTTTTCTGAGTTTAATACTTTCTAATTTAATACAATTATTGAATATTCCCATTAACTCCTGGTCTAAGTCATCCTTATAAAATATTGATAAATCTATTAGATTTTTACATTTTGCAATTGATTGAAATAACTTTCTGAAAAATTCACTGTCATTTGGAATACCACCAAGATCCAAATATTTAAGTTTTTTTCCATTTTTATTAAGAAAATCTGACAATTTGGATAGAAATGGATTATGGTAAATATATAATGTTACAGATTCAAGATTTGGCAGTGAAGTATTTTCCAAATACTTTATTTTGATACCAGTAGCAAATGATAATAATGATAAAGTCTTTAAATTTTTAAGATTTGGTAATAATATATTATCTATATCACGTGCTTCACTGCTTGAATAACTAATTATTGATTGTGAATGTGAAAGTATTGCATTTTTGAAATTATCTGATAAAGCTTGATTGCCAGTGTATAAATTAATGGATAATTTCTTTATTTGATTTTGTGCTTTAATTAGTTGAGCCAGACTATCTTCAAATGTATTGTAGTGTCCACTATAATATATTTCTAATGACTGAATAGATTTGCAAATATTTGCTAATTTATAAATGAATTTATTTCTACTACGAGTGAATGTACAAACTAATTTATTGAGATTCTGAAAGCTAACGTCAAATCTAGGATAATTATTTACCCAATACCAATCTATATCATTAGTGCTAAGATCTTTAATAATTGCTGAATGATCTAAAATAAAATTTACTAATCTATTTTGTAAAATATTTAATCCAGAAGTTATCAACTTACAAAATTCATAATTATCAATAAAATAAAATCTAGTACAAAATTTAGCATAATTATATAATGGTTGTTTCTCCAATCGGTCAAAAATTAACTGAATATCATTTCTAGTTAAGAAATCCTTGTCTTCTTCCTCCAATAAACAATTGATTATTATTTTAGTGCTGTTAAGAGAATAAAATGGATTTCTCCATAAAATTGGAATACTAATATTGTGCCAGCCTTTATTAACAAGGATGCAAGAATACAATGTTTTATAATTGTCTTCATTGTATTTAAATATTTAATTCAAAAGCTCAAGAGGTAAAGTTATTATTGACATTTTTTTGTAAAGAAAAAATTTAATTTTGTTTGTTGTACATACTAAACATTATTTATTTCAGCCAATTAAATCAAAATAACAATAACATTAATAAAAATTATACTTGCAAACCACTAATTTCTAATAGTATAAGCAATTATAATTTTATTATAAAAGGTTTGGGTCTTCTCCAATTCTTCATTAGATTATCAGAAAATTGTCTTGATTAAATTATTTTGCTAATGTTTGATTTACACTGCTAAAATTCTATCACCATCTATTTCATCATAATTAACATTAATTCGTGCTCCGTGAGACAACTGCAAAATTTTGCATAATTTTGTGGCGATAATAAACAATATAATTTTTTAGAATTTTTAGAATATGACCGTCCCTCACGTGATTAAGCATGATTACGCGACATAAAAATTTAAAATTTAAACTTTTCAAAGTAACCAAACATCTATTTATATTTCTTTTTTTTTGAATAAAACTAAATACAAACGCCTATTTATTTTTTTTTTTCTTGAATGAATAATCAAATATTATATTTGAATCTTGAGTTTTATATAGCAGTTTTAGGCAAGAATCCAGCAGCCCCTCCATATAAAGATAAAATATTTTATAAGAAAGTCCTTTGAAAATTTGATATTAAAGCTTTGGGTTTCTTATTATTTATTACATTTGCAAATAGTAGTTTTTTAGGAATGAAGTATGGGTTTCGGAAAATTTCAATTAGTGATCTGCGAAACCTTATAAAATATAGTTCTAAATTTATATATACAACATTGTGCAATAATTTTTTCAATAGCTGTATTTGTATGAAATACAACCAACATCCTGATTTTTAAGTTTTTCCATTAACATTAATAAAAGAAGCATATAGTGCAACAAAGGGTTGTCGATTACTTTAAGCACTTATTGGTTGGGAGACAGAATGCTATGTGTGTACAAAGTAGTTTGGGATTTGGGCAGCATGTATAAAGGTTATGTTATGAAAACAGCAGAACTGGGGAAGGTTTTCTTTTCACTTCATTGGCATTCAACACCAAACCTATTTCCATTATGACACAATTATCTGTTTATATTCAATTACTAATTCAAACCTTGTTTCAACGAGTATTGTTATAATTTATTATTATCCAAAAAAATCAATTTTGGTGGTTTTTTGCACCAACTTCTCTGGAAATTCAACCTTTCGCAAATCTAAATCCAAAGTAGACAGGTAATATCTACCCAAAGGTTTGCTGGTCAAATAAGCAAACTTTCCATGCTTTTTCAATAACTCCTCAATGCTTCTCTTTTCTTTATGGGTTGGCAAATTATAGCCAGCTGTCTGGGCAACCTTGTTTTTCGTGGCTAACCTTCTCCATGCTTGGTCTTTTCTTTTTTGTATTGCCAACCTGATTTGCTCCTCGGAATGGTGTTGAACAAAAAAAACAGAGTTCTTAGAGCGCGCTTGCATCTAGTCCATATTATAAATGTGGCTTTAAAAAACGATTGAGTATTAATTAATTTTCTTATGATCAACAATCAAATTGTTTAAATAACATTAAATTGAATATTAAAGGATCTATTTCAGCATTAATGCAATATGGTAATGATTAATATTCATCATCATTTAAATGTAATCAAAATTAAATATTACAAGTCTTATATAAATTTGTTGTATTTCCTAATTTTTCATTATTTTCCAAGTTAAATTGATTTATGATTACATCTCCCAATATCTACCTTTTGATTTTTTAGTCTGTGATTTTTGTGATGTTTCAATAGAGCTTTTCCTTTTCTCTTTTCTTGATGGAGCACCTTTGCCTTTTCTTACAACTGGGTTTCTAACTTTTTCAATTAGCAAGCAATTTAAAGATTGAATTTCATCAGCATTATAAGAAACAATTACAACAGCCACACCAGTGTTATTGTTTGTATTTGGGGTTTGTACTAGGAAAATCAAGCTTCGAGGTCCCAAAACCAAAATGGATATTTTTGATGCAATTCAATCTATTACACAAGGATTATAAATGATTAAAGTTTCAGAGGGTGTTAACTTAATAAAACCTTGTACAATGGGGTTTTCTTTTTTATATTAAAATTTTTCTTTAGACGAATTTAGAAATGATCACCATTTTGCGCACACCTTCAAATTAAAGAAAAAAAATTTATTATTTTTATAGATTTGGATTCGGATTTGAACAATAAATATCCTTATATGGTTCATCAACATGTTGACGAATTTTTGTATATAAATATTTTTTTCTTTCTTCTGATGGTGGTGATACTGAAAAAACCTCTAGAGGATCATGTGGATTAAAATTATTTTTTAAAAGAGAAAAAGAATATTCAACTCCATTTGATTCTTTTGAAACATGAACTTTTCCAATATCATTTTTTGTAAACCGAAATTGATAATATTGTCTGATTTGAGGTAAAGGGTTAAAATGATCTTTTAAAAGTGTGTTAAAATCATACCATATCCAACCCAATCCATTATCATATCTAATTGCTTCATTACCTTCAGATGAAATATTAACAATGTGTTCAATATCATCAACAGTGTTTACACGATGATTTCTATACACTTTTTTAATTTGACCAAAAAATGAGTCACAGATAAACTTGGTATGTCCAGGAATCATAAAATTAACCATAATTTCATCAAACCAACCAGACATTATCAACCACAACCAAAACCAAAGAGTTAGGTTGTTCTTATTTTGTGCAGTACAATTATCACAAGTAATTTGTAAATTTTTTACACCATCTATGGAAAATTTTTTAAGAGAATTAAACACCATATTTAATGTTGTATTAGCACCTTTAGAAACCCCACAAGGAAATTCATTTTCAGCAATTATAAAATTTAGTTGATGATTTTTTTCTCCTGTTTTACAAACACCAAAAATATTTACAGCAAATGGTATTTTAAAATAAATTGATCCAACTTGTTGAGGAGAATATGGGATGCCAACATTCTGAGCCCAATCATAACAGATATGCAGGAATGATGAATCAGTTTTACTTTTTTCTATATTATTATTATAATGCATACGTTCATGATTTGCACATTCACGGTGTCCCTCATATTCTTTTTTTGTTTTTTCATAATTTTCAACATCAGATTTTGCAACTGCCATTTCTGCTTTAAACATTTCACATTTATCACAAAGATCACTTGCTGGAGGTTGAAATTTAAGATATGGGATCAATTCTTGCCATAATCTTCGAAAAGTTTGGTAAGAAATTATTTGTTTAGTTTCATGTTCAGCATGAAAATGGATTTTAAATTCATTATATACTGAAACATATGTTTTTCCTGTTGGAAGATATATGAAAGCATCAGAATCATCAAAATGACGCATTGGTGATGGCAATCCAAATATATCTGCATATTGTAACAAGTATTGTTTAACCATTGATCCAACTTCTAAGTCAACTTGGGCACGGGATTTGATTTTAGGTATACGTCCAGTATTTTTATGAAGTCGTTCTGATAATCCATTAATTTGTAAATCAACTTGCAAGGTTTTAAGCATATATTCAGTGATTCCACATAATTTTATATATGCTGGGTAACATAAGGGTAAATGATGCATAAAATTATATCTATAATTATGTCTACCTTCTGATTGAATACTAGTTGTTTCAAAAGACATCAATTGAGCTTTTATGAATGATTCAAGTGCATCTTTTTCTAATGCACGTAGTTGAAGATGTCTTTCAAAAAACTGCTTAAATCCTACTTTTTCATAACAGGTTCTTAAATCATTTTTTGTAGCTCTTGTAGTTTTACAATGACAATTATTTTCTTGAAAGAATGTCATTAAATCATCTATGGTATCAAGAACTAATTCATTTTCTTCATAATCTTCTAAGCCTAATTCTATAAAATTATATACTGGTCTTAAACTTGAGTTCAAAGATAAATTTTCCATATTAATTTTAAAATTTAACAAAAGTAAAATTTTATTTAAAAAAATTTTTTTTATTAGTATATTAATATTAATTTATATATTTAATATTAATATTAATATTGTATATAACGGAATTTTTTTAATAAAAATTTTTGAGCACATCAAAATCTAAAAATAGTAATAAATTTTTATTGGTCAAATTTTTGATCAACAATTACTCAAAAAAAAAAAATCAGCTGGAAGGTCGATTTTCCTAGTACAGACCCCATTTATATTGTATTTATTTTATTACTATTATATTTATTTATTAAATTAAAAAATTTTTAGAAATGGAATTTATGAGAAAATCTTGTTACAATGGAAATAAATAAAAATTTTGAAATATATTACCAAAAGATAAATTAAAACTAACAAAAAATATAATAATAATAAAACTGCATAATTATTTAGGAAAGGCATACAAGTAAATTTAATTAGTTTCTCCTACTGGTATGCTACATTCATTATTAGAAGTGGTCGACATACTAGAATCTATAAATAGTTTGAATAATTAATTATTGATAATAAGAATAGTCAACATTGGCAATAAATTAAAAATAATCACCTATGTCATAAGAATCTCGAGTAAAACCATAATTTGTAATTCTAGACCGCCATAATGATTGAAATGATTGAGATAATTGGCATGAATCATTATTGTCTGATAAAATTTGATCCATCTCATTAAATGCATTTCTAATGGAAATTAGCTTTTTAAGTTTTTCAGAATGACATAAGTTTTGATCTATATTTACTAAACTATCTTCAAGTGCATTGTACCAAGAAAAAATCTCATGAAATATTTCTTCAGCAATTGGACGATTGTCTGGGTCAGCATCCATGCATCTTCTTGCAAATTCAATATAAAATTTAGGTGTGTTATTTGAAAATTTTGGTCTTGATCCTTTAGAAATAGCCTCTTTTAAATTTCTAAAAGATACTTGATGTGAAAACTGTTCTGGATATTGTAGTTCTCCCATTGAGATTAATGACATCATAACTCCAAAGCTGTAAATATCAGATTTCGTTGTATAATTAAATGCATTTTCTAATACTTCAGGTGCCATAAAAAATATCACTCCAACTCTTCCTGCAAGATCTTGATTAACTAAATCTGATAAACCCAAATCTGAAACCAAAGCTTCATTATTTTCATTTACTAAAATATTACCAGTATGAAGATCATGATGCTTAACATCATTTTTATGAAGTTCTTCTAAACCACTAATAATATTATAAAGCAATGATATTTTATCTTTCCATTTTAGAGTTTTATAATTGTTAGCCAAATAATTATGGAGACATCCATTTTTTGCATATTTCATAACCATATAATATTCATATGTTTCCAAATCTCATTTACACCATAAATCTTGACAATATAAGGATAATGACGAAACTTGACAATTTTTAAACTGAAAAATATTTTTAGTTAATTAATTGTGTTAATATTTCTTTGTTATATTCAAAATATGTTTACCTCCTTCATGAAAGCATCTAAATCAAATTCAGAATTTGACATTCTTTCTAATGCTTTTAATGCTACAATTCTATCCCCACAGCATTTTTTATTATTTTCAATATCTATAAATTTTTTACCATTTACCCAAGTAGCTTTGTATATATCTGCAAAACCACCATGTCCTATTTTTTCAATATCTTTAAACTTATCATAAGGAATCCATTCTAAATAATCACTATTATAAGATGTTGCTTTAAGTTGTGTATTCTTAATTATCCCATCAATTACATCATCACCACTAGTCCAGCCTTCTGTTAATAAATAAGGGTCACATGATTGGCACCAATAATAATTTGTATTATTTCTAGTACAAGTTGGACATTTACCATATTTCTTTTTCCTTTTAATTAAATACTTATTATATTTAAAAGGTCTTCTGACTTTAAGAATTCCCTTTAGTTGATTATCAGCAAATTCCAAAAGATCTCCAATAAAATACTTATTGTATTTAAAAGGTCTTCTGACTTTAAGAATTCTCTTTAGTTGATTATTGGCAAATTCCAAAAGCTCTCTACTAGTTGGTCTTTTTGATGGATCCACATCCCAACATCTTTGCATCATTTGTGCATAATCATCAGGCATTTCAGATAGTATTGGTGGTCGTAAACCTTCAAATATATCAAAAATCAAACAATGGTTATGAGTTCTATTGTCAAATGGTGGATGACCTGCAAATATTTCCCACATTAACATCCCAACACTATATATATCAGGTTCTTTGGTGTTCTTTGTATCAATTTTGCCTCTAAGTAGCTCAGGTGCAATATATGATACAATTCCATAGACTTTATTTGATGACTTTCCATAAACTGGTCCACATGTTCCTAAATACATAATAAAACAATTGCCTCCTTCCATAAGTATATTACCACTATGTAGGTCATAATGGATTAGATCTTTTTCATGTATATCATCTAATGCACTACATAAACATCTAAAAATTGTAATTCTATCCTTTAATCCTAAATTTAAATGATTTCTTCATAAATAATCTCTTAAATTTCCCTCTGAAAGATAATTTAAAACTATTGCATAATTTCCACCATCTGGGAATTTAGTTATACCATAGCAAGGAGCAATCAGTGGTGATTTAATTTTATAATAATTCATTGCCTGAAATTGAATATAAAATCAATTAGTATTGTATTGCTTATTTTTGTTTAAATAACAATTACCAACCTCATCAAAAAAGTCCTTTCCTGGATTACTTGAATTATTTAAATTTTTTAATACTACTTCTTGCCATCCAGAATAATTAAATTCCTTTTTATTTTCATCATAATCATTTATTTGTCCTCTAGTCCATGTAGCAGTATAAATTGAACTAAATCCATCTTCTTTCAACTTTGTTATATCTTCGAATTGCTCAAAAGGTATCCATTCTAAAATATAGTTTGGCAGAGATGATTTCATTTGATATTGTTGAATAAAATTATCAACTATGTTATTTCCAGATGTCCAAGTAGTGAAATGACTCTGTAATTGTAAGCTAATGCAACCTTCACAGAACCTATCAGAGTATCTTGTCAATTTACACTTGTTACATTCTTTTGGTTGGCTCAGTTTATCACTTGCATTTTGTAATTCAAAATCATAAATAAACTTTTCTTTACAATATTCTTTCTCATTTTCAGAAAGTTGCTCATTTTTTTTGACTAATGAAAAAAAATAAACATTTCTACTTTCTCTATCAAAATTAACCAGAGCATTATTGTTCATTTCACTATAAATTTTATATACGTATTCTCTCCTTTCTGGTAATAATAATTTATTAAATGGGGCATGCTGCAACAAAACCAGACAAAGTGAACATTGGTATTACCAAGAATTTCAGGGATCAATATGTTTGTCTAACATCACAATTATATTATCATGTAATGTGATCATGATAT